AAAAAACAAAAAAATAATTTTTTTTAATATATTTTTTTTTCTTTTTTAATTTTTTTTTATTTTTTTCGTTTTTTTTTTTTGTTTTTTTTTTTTTTTTTTTTTTTTTTTTTTTTTGCAAGTTGTGATTTTTGTTTATGTATAATAGGTCCTGTATAACTGTTTAGTGAAATATAAGTATGTTAAACAGAAATTGATGTATTTTCCGCAATGAAAAAAAAATATATATATTAAAGAAATAAAGAAAGACAAGAATTCAGCTATTTACATCTAACCTAATAGAGAAGGTTGTCTAGCCATTATCGATTTTTTTTTCTTGCTCATCGATTTACAGTATCAAACTAAAAAAAAAAACATTAAGAAAACTATTTAAACTGTATTATCGATCCAAATACAAAAATTAAACAAGAGAGAAAGTAAGTCCAAAGAGGAAGGGCTTTAGAAGGTTGTAATCGCCTAAAAAGTAAAGGACTTGTTTCTCGTTGGTCAACACAGTTTATTTCGTTTTGTCATTAATAAAAGAATTCCCTTATAGAAAATGGACGTCCCTTTTCTTCAATGTCTTCGGCGCACCTGACAATGATGAATGAAATAAATTTATATCGTGTGATTTTTATTCACATTTCCTCATCGACCTCTGTAAAAATTGGTACTGATGTCTCCGGATATGACCACAGATAGGTATTCCGCGAGTTGATATCTTGAAGGAGGTTTGAATTTATTCATTATGTATTGTTGTAGGTGAAAGAAGTTGAGTTGATCCTGAATCAGAGTGGTCCATCGAAGGTAAACAGGTTCTGGTGCGAGAGAAGCAAACAACTCACTGCCCCTATTGTTCTTGTTTGAACCAGTGTTATGATTGCTATTAGATGTGCTAGCACTCTTGCATGAACTTGAGGTGGTGGTGTTGGACGCTGCGGCAATGTCGGTTCGTAATTTTTTGGTAAAATCTTCGAACGCTCTAGCCTCGAATTCTTGATCGGCCTGAACAGCAGATACCATCATTGAATCAATTCCGTGGTCCATCTGATCGCGATAGAATTGCACCCATCCGAGATCCTCCAAGTACTGTTCTACTTCGTCGGCCACGCGTTGAAGAGCGTCCCACTCATGCGGGTAATAGTAGTTTACGGCTAGCATGTTGTGCAAAAAAAGGCCAAACCTCTCGACAATGTGCAGTACACGCTCCTTTCGACGAAGCGCCCTCTTGGGACCTGGTGGCTCTGCAATCAAGCCTGGAGGTTCCTGCGGTGCATTTATGACAATAAGTCGCTTTGCGTATTCGGTTTCTAAAGGGATATGCCATTCATTTGCTACTCTCAAAAGTTCTTCTGGTGGAATACTTTTGCTGTTTCGCACGAACCATAGATGCGCAGTAACCGTGTGCGGACCCGATAAGGTTCTGAATAAACGGTTGGTGGAGGATAAAGAGCGTAGATCTTTAGAATTATCGATACAAAAAATTATAAGAAATATAATTTCTGTAGGGAGAGAGATTAGACTTCGATGAACCATTTCGATTGCCGTTTTGTTATCTATGTTTTCGCCGACTTTGCTCAGACCTGAAATTTTCGGGGAGGGGGCTCATAGACGTGTGTTTAGGGGTTTGGCAAAGGTTCGACTGTCCCGCGAAAGGGTGGGTCGGTGAGTTAGGAAAGAGGTGTGCAAAGAGAAGGTATGCGAAGAGAAAGGGCACAACAAAGAGATGGTAACGGAAGAAAGGGAAGGAAGAAATGAAAAAGAAGGAAGGAAATTGAGATTTAAATTAATTAAACTTTGAAATCGAAGCTGTGTTAAATTGATGAGCCATCTAGTGAACAGAACTCCTGCATGAACAAATAAATCACGTGATATGCGTAATTGTTTTTTTTTTTTTAGGTCGCCATTAACGTATAGAATATAGAATAGATCGATTTCACTTTTAAGCTCGGTCCTTGCGAAATGGTTAGTGATATTTGATATTGCGTTGCATTTTCAGTTGGATCCATAACTCTTCTCGACAAAATGCGTCCGAAATTCATGTAGGCCCGGAATGAAGAGAAAGCACAGTGAGTTTCGTTAATATACTCCAAGGACGCCTCGCTATTGGGGGAGGGGGTTTTTTTTTCACCTTTGAACTTGTCAAATTTCGATTAGATCTATGCTTTATCGTTTTCGTGAGGCGCAAGCCGTTCAACTTGGTTTAGTGAAGCAAAAGGAACGACGACCTTATTTAGCCTCCGACTGCAATAGTTTAAAGGACGCGGAAAAATGGCGGCAGCAGATCATTCGAGAAATCTCGCGAAAAGTTTCGAAAATTCAAGATGGTAAGATGCTCATACTTGCGAAGGCACCGAACCTCACACTCACATCTCAATAAATTTTTTGCCGAATGTGGGATCAGTTAATTTAAGTTAATTTCATTTTTACAATCGTAGCTGGCCTTTCGGATTATCAGATTAGAGATTTAAACGATGAAATCAACAAGCTAATGAGAGAAAAGGGACATTGGGAAGATCAAATAAAAAAACTTGGTGGTCCGGACTACAGAGTAAGGGACCAACCGACCTTTCCTTAATATGTGCGATGCAATTATTCTTTATTTTCTAAAATCAACACCTCACACATATTTACAGAGAATTGGACCCAAAATGATGGATCACGAAGGCAAGGAGGTACCCGGAAACCGCGGTTACAAGTATACCAACAAAACAATAATTTCCTTTGACGCACGTAATTCACGAGGGATTGAATCACACACACGAAATTCTCACATTGCATTAGATATTTTGGACGCGCCAAAGACTTACCTGGAGTGAGAGAATTATTCGAACAAGATGGTACCCAAATTTATTCATTTGTTTAATTTATTGGGGGAAGGGAAAATCAGTTTAAGAGACATGTTTTTCTGACTTCACAACTTGACTCAGTACCCACGCCACAAAAGCGCACGAGATTCGACCTATACAAAAATGTAGACGCGGATTACTATGGTTATCGGGATGAGGAAGATGGATCTTTGCTCGAGTATGAGGTTGATAGGGAGCGTTCACGTAAGCATCGTATCCACCATCTTCTACCTTTAGCCGGTCGGTTAAATCGCATCTCTTCTTTCAGTTATCGAGGAAACATTGAGATTCTCTGATAAGGCATTGCCCAAGGACAAGTCCACACAAAAGAAGAAGGAAGGTGCATCACAGGTAGAGGGCGAAATAACGGACATTCATCAGTTGTCAGAAAAATATGTGGCACACGTGGCTGTGCCCTCCCAAAAAGAAGTCGAAGAGTACCTGGTGCTAAGGAGGAAACGCCAAATTCTTGATCGCTATGTTGCCGAAGACGAGATGTAAAATTGACCAAGATATTGGACACCTCTGTTGGTTTACGTTACACGCCGTTAGTTGTAAAATTAAAACGCGTATATTAATTTTATTTATCCACGAACCCACCATTTAATCTCTTACGATAAGGGAGATTTGTTGCACAAGGGTGATGATTTGAGTCGGGACTCTAAGTCATAAATGAAGTGCCTTATTGCCATTGAGGTTACTACCCCGTTATTGCGCTGTTTGATGAATTTCGACTTTTGTATTTTTTTTTATTCCCCAATCTTATCTGACATCCAATATACAGTATATGTGTATGACCTATACGTTAGTTATGTAACCGTGATGGTTTGATAGGCTGACATTCGACATCAAGCTTGATTAGTTATTAACACCCGCCGTGGAATGCCAAATTTAGCAAACGCAAATTGTTTTCCAAAATCAAATTTATTCTCGTAGAGTGTAGAGGTACTCGTTTTTTTTCTCTTAAAGTCGCGTAGAAACATACATGATGTCAGGTAACACATAAATTATCTTGAGTTGTAAAAAAGTTCAATCTCTTTGGTGACGCGTTCTCATTCCCGGTCGGACACGTCTTGCTCTTTAGAATACAACCCCTCCTATCAGAGTTATTCGTCCGGGGCCTACAGTAATAATCCGAGTCAAGGTTTCAGTTATGGTGCTGGCGGATTTGTGGCTTCAGGTGAGGGTTCGACTTCAAGGCGAGATTCTGATGGAAGGGTATGTAACTATGATAATATAGGAGCGACTTCCTTGCACTTTTCTGCAGAGTTCACGAATCCTATTTTTTTTTTTTTTTAGCCGTCCGACCGTAGTGCGAAAACGGTTCGTTCCGTCACAATTCGTCAACTCTTGAGTTGCGATGCCAGTCACTCAGATGGCGAACAAATGCTTGATGGAAAACCTCTTAATCTTGTAAGCGTTCGAAACGAATCTTCGCATGCACAACAACACGCTTGACCTCTGAAACCCAACGTGGTATCTTCTTTTGGAAATAGGTTACTTTCGTCGCGAAGGTTCATAATATTTCACCCAAAAACAATTTGATTGACATCACCGTTGAGGATGGCAGTGGATTCATCGAAGTGAAGCTTTTCTCCAATAATAATGATAATCTAAGCGAAGAACAGGACCAGGTTATGAATGTTCCCAGCGAGATCAAGTAAATGTTGATATATTATGCGTTCGAATGCAAACAGTTATTTCATTCATCGGTCACTGACATCATCTTATTTAGAATCAACAAGTATATACGAGCATCCGGAACCCTCAAGGAATTTAAATCCAATAAAAGTTTTATCGCATATTCCATTCGACCGATAACCGATTGCAATGAGATTAGTTACCATCTCATCGAAGTTGTCCACACCCACCTTTCATTAATTAAGGGTGGTGACGATCGAATGGTAGATGTATCGCAAGTTCTGTTCTGATCTACTGATCATTGTAAAAGGCAGATGCTGAATCTATTTTCCATTGGTACAGGGTAATAGGCAATCTGCTTCCACCATTACCGGTTCGGCGTATGATTCTTCACAGGTCAATAGAAATAACAACACGGAGATGTTTGCGAGTAGACTCCATAAGGAGGTTGTTGATCTCGTCAATAAAAACGCGGTTAGCGAGGTGGGAATGAAGATCGATGACATCTGCCGCGCGTTGGCTTTTCAGTACGGATCTGATATCAATGTTAGGTAAAAAAAAAAAAAAAAAAGAAAAGAAATTTTTGATTTAATTCGTCCAGATGTACAAAAGAACTAACCGTAGGATCATGGGTTAATTTTGTGAAAAAAGGAATGCCATCGATGATCTAGTAAGCGAGGGGCAACTTTACAACACCTCAGACGACAATCATGTTCAAGTTACCGGTGCTTAATGCGCATTTCTCCTTTATCACTCTAGTCTGTAAAAGTAATTAGCGGTCGAACGATCGTACTCACTTAATAAACCCGACTAAATTTAATTTCATCCTCAATTTACGTTGCCTTTCTCGGCTTCAAGTGTTGATAAAAAACAAAATTTTTTTCCTTATTGATCCGATCACTCGGCAATATTCGCGCGCCTATTTTTTAAATGTTACAGTTAAAATGATTAGATTTATTCTCACGTTTTTTTTTTTTTTTTTTCGCGACTTGATGGTGATGTCGCGAATTGCTCATTTAAATATCACATGAAACACGTAAAACTTTAATGTATTTGTGATATTACGTAATGATTCACATCATTTTATCTTGAAAAAATTTTTTTCGATTTCGAGTTCGACCATGGCTTCTCGTTCTTTGCTTCTTAGTCAAAGGTCCTTACTGCACCTTCCCGTTAGACATGTTTTTCCGGTAGTTGTCCTCAATGATCAAATGCTCATAGACGAGTTTCCTAATATATATGTATTTGTAATTTTTTTTTCTTTTTTTTTTTTCTTTTTACAAGTCGACGTCCAGGTTACTCTATTTGAACCAAAAAGTTCATAATTCTTACGTTGCCTCCGGGAACGAAGACTACTCGTTGTTTAATTTTGGTTCGGAACCTCGGTTTCGCCCGAAGTTGCCGAGAAATACGGTCAGTTTTTTTTCTCTTTCTCAATAAAACGCATTTTTAGAACAGCAAGTTGACTATTTGAAAAAAATGCTTTGGAATTAGATTATCAATTTTGTACCTCAGCAAGAGGCATGGATCGTGGAACGTTTCGGAAAGGTTTGAACATTTTACGCTTTTGTGTGGAATGACAAGGTCTCGGAGTTACTTATCAATTGGTCAACAACTAGTTCGATCGACTGCTGCAACCAGGTCTTGCACTTGTAGTTCCTTTCCTTGAACGCATCAAGTATGTAAAAAGTTTGAAGGAAATTTGTTTAAATATTCCTGCTCAAAGTGCTATCACGCAAGGTGAGTTTTTTTTCTTCTTATGATAGCATTCGTCATATTTTCATAATTGTCACAACTACCTGGTGTTTTCGCAGACAACGTGACGCTAGAATTGGATGGTGTGCTGTATATTAAAATAGTGGATCCATATAATGTAAGTTGCACTCGCGCTTTTTCCTCATTCTTGTGTTTCGCCGACCTCAATAACGAAATCTCCTTTTCTTAGGCATCATACGGTGTCGAAGATGCAGAGTATGCGGTCGCGCAGTTGGCACAAACAACTATGCGTGCTGAAATTGGACAAATGACACTGGATAGGACTTTGGCAGAACGTTCCCATTTGAATGCGAATATAGTGGACGCGATTAATAGTGCTGCTGCTGAAGCGTGGGGCATCCGATGTTTAAGATACGAAATTCGTGAGTATCACTGTTTATCTGCTCGGTAGTAAATTGTGGAGGTCCTTCATGTCATTGTTTCCATTTTATTTCATTTTTATTTTTATTTTTTTTTTTTGTATAGGCGACATTCACCCTCCTGCCAAGGTCGTGGAGTCTATGCATTCACAGGTATCGGCCGAAAGATCAAAAAGAGCCTCGATTCTCGAGTCCGAAGGTTTATTCTTACCTAACTCGGCATGAATGATAGATATGGTACGCTACCATTAACGTCGGCCTTTCTTTCTTTCTGTTTTCAGGCGCAAGACAGGCTGCCATCAACGTTGCTGAAGGTGCAAAACAATCGGTTATACTAGCTTCGGAAGCTCAGAAGGCCGAGCAGATAAATAAAGCATCAGGTAAGATCGATTGATGATAATCGAACAAAGACGAAATTCTATTCTTATTATTTGCGAAATTTACAAAAGGTGAGGCCGAAGCAATCCTCCTTCGGGCAAAAGCTACCGCTGAGGGGATCCGACAGATTGCCGACGCTATTGAAGAAAGCCCTCGTGGAACCGACGCCGTCACACTCACTGTGGCCGAAAAATACGTGGAGGCTTTTGGGCAACTCGCAAAACAAGGCAACACCATTATCGTTCCGGCATCTACCAATGACGCCAGCTCAATGATTGCCCAAGTATGACGACCAATCAATCATTTACTGATCTTCGCAAATTCAAAATGAAATCTCACGCGCTTTTCTATAGGCTTTGTCGATATACCAAACAGTCTCCAAACAGCAGCTAATCGCTTCCCCCGACACATCGTGATACAAAAATTTGGATTGCCTGTGTTAACCGACAAATACGATAGCCCTAAATATCATTTTTAATCGTCCGGGTATGATATTCCATCCTCTTCTCCTTGTTATTAATAATGTTTCATCAGAATACAATCATTATTTGGAAATTGCATCAACATCAAGGAAGAACGATATCATACTGTTATGAATGAGACCACATTGGACTCGGTGATTTGTGTTGCGTCGATTCGTAATCTGTGTTTAAAAACTTATTGGGAATCTACCGTGGATCGTATTGGATAATGCGCATTCAAACGTGTCCCAATGATCTTGTGGGATTCAATCAAAAAGTTCGAGACTTTTTTTAAAAAAATTGTGAATGACATTAAGATGGTTTATTGCCTTAGGTTAGTAACCCGGACATAAGAGATATAATGTCAATGACTGAACATTTAAGATGTTTTCTGACTGAAATAAATAAACACGATTCGCAATGATGTGTATAACTTGATGAATCAAAACAATTAATTAATAACATACTCCTAAAGAAAATATTGGATTTTGTCCTTGGAAAATAAAGGAAATTAGTGCTTACGGATGGGCAAACGCTTGTCAAAGAATGCAGGTTATGCTCACCTTTCTTTCTATGGACATTTGTTGAGACGGACCATCTCGGTCGTTTTCTGGTGCAGCGTCAAACACATTGAAGAACCGTTGTCCGTCGACACCAACCTCCAAGATTGAGGCCATGTTACCACAGCGATAACAATAATTAGGAGCCGACCACACGGTAGACAAAAGATCATCATAAAGAACCTATTGTTTCACGTGATCACGTTACGTGAGAGTCTGAGTGAGTCATTACACCGGCAAAATGTACTTGCCTGATATCCTTCCA